GTCAGGGCCTACACCAGTCTTTACTAAAACAAGCCCCCCACCCCGGTCAGGGCCTACACCAGTCTTTACTAAAACAAGCCCCCCACCCTGTCAGGGCCTACACCAGTCTTTACTAAAACAAGCCCCCCACCCTGTCAGGGCCTACACCAGTCTTTAATAAAACAGGCCCCACCCCTGTCAGGGTCTACACCAGTCTTCACTGAATCAAGCCCCCCACCCACAGTTTGGACTCGTTTCCTGCCACAGTGCCGTCATTAAGGAAGTGCCTCTCCCAGCATTTCCCTCCAGTAAAAGTCACAGCTGCAAACGGTGGCGTTCTGTGCAGGAAGCAGGAGCAGTGGCATTTACTGGTTGGGGACCACTGGGTTCCCCGCTCAGGATCCCACAGGCGGCTCCTCTTGCACTTCCAAGCCCTGCCCTGGCCGCCAGCCTCAGAGGGGAGTCAGGTGTGGCCGGAGTGACCTGCCAGATCTCCAGGGAGGGGGCTCGTGTGGGTCTGGAACAGCTCAAGGTTCCGTCTCTCTGGTGTGACTGTCTACAGTCAGCCGTGCACTCAGAGAACAGCCCAGACACGCGGCTCACAGAGGGTCGTGCAGCTCACCTTCAAGTGGGCATTCTCCTCTTGAAGTTCCCGGAGGCTGGCAGCGGTATGCTGGGCCTGCACATCTAGTTTTAAGGTCAGATGTAATATTTCCTCATTTTTACTCGCTAAATTATCTTTAACTTCTTCTAGCTGTTCTTTTAAGTCCAAAACCTTCATTAAAATGAAAGAATGGAAGTATTAATAATTTTCTAATATCCACTTAACTTAGACCAGACCAGACCAGACCCATTGCCATCAAGTCAATTCCGACTCACAGTGACCCTACAGGACAGAGTAGAACTGCCCCATAGGGTTTCCAAGGAGTGGCTGGTGGATTCAAACTTAACCACTGTGCCACCAGGGCTTAACTTAATCATTATTAAAATAGTTGTAAAAGTTTAAAAAAGACATGCCCAAAACATTTATCACCAAGAGCACATGGTGGTCATGATCCACCAGCCCCATGGAGGGAGCCCGGGACCCCGGACGGCAGTGCCGGGGGGCCAGCACTTGCCTCTCTCTTGCACTGTGGCTGCCCCTCGGGCGCCGCCTCTGGCTGTGCTTCTGTGCCCCCAGCAGGGCTGCCTGCAGGAGGCACATGGCATTTGGCCTCCTCTAGTTCAGTCTGCAACGCAGACACCAGAATCAAGTGATTCATCTGCTGTTTCTTTAATAACTCTTTATCCTACTTAAAAAAAACAAACAAACATTATTTTAGGCAAGTGTTTAAGGAATCAGGTACCTCACACTGCTGTCCTTAAGGTATATGCCACCCTCAGCTTTCTACAGCCCAGCCGTCACTGCACCTCTGACCCCCCTCCCCGTCCCCGCGGCACCTGTGACTCCCCAGCACATCATCCACAGCGCCTGGCCGCGCCCCAGCGTCGAGATCCACCAAGAAAACCAGTGTGTGCCTGTGGCGCTGAGGTGAGGGCTGATCCTGACTAATTATTCAACGAGGCACAAAAATATTCACTGGACTGTCACCAATAAAAAAACACTGCAAAGACCCAGCCAAAGAATAGCACCATGGTTAATGGTGGAGCATACAGTATTAACAGCCCATTGAAAAGTTTTTCAAAGAACGTTTAATACAGAAAGAATGCCCGTAACATATCAAGTGGGAAGAAATAGGCTACAAAGTTGCTCCAACTTCATAAGACCAAAAAAAGGATGTTTTCTATCCTCTCAACACAGATGGTTTCAATGCCGTGAAGGAGCAACTACCTTCCCTGAGGGGCCCTTTGCCCTTAATAAGCTTAAGGAATGTTTGCTGAATGAATAAATGAGTGAGTGAATGAACGAGTGAATGAATGAACTAGTGAATGAATGAATGAACAAATGAATGAGTGAGTGAACAAGAGAACATGTGAATGAGTGAGTGAACAAGTGAATGAATGTGTAAAACAGCCCCCACTGGAGACATAATCCAAACAGGATGTGGCTACAGGACACGGCAGCCCTCCAGTGACTGGGTCAGACGAGATGCCAGGGGATGGGGAGATGCTGGGTGTCCTGTCCCGAGATGCTAACAGCGGAAACACAGCATGGCCTCAAGAAGAAACCTGAGTTCACATAAAGGTCCTCATCGGCATTTATGATAAAAGCTCTCCTATTATCCTTGAGGACTCCCTGGATAGTGCAGTTAACACGCTCAGCTGCTTCCAAAAGGTTGGCGGTTCAAGTCCACCCAGAGGTACCGAGAAGAAAGGCCTGGCCTTCTGCTTCCAAAATATCAGTCACTGAAAACCCTACGGAGCATGGTTCTACTCTGACACACATGGGGTTGCCATGAGTTGGGGTCAACCCAACAGCAGCTGAGAGACTGAGGTTCTCCTTGAAGCAGGACTTACATCTTGGGGCCAAACTACCAATAAAATTGCTGACTGAACCTTACTTTTCAAGTAACCTTTCAACTTCCTGCAACAAAAGTCAAAACTTAAATCCATTTCAACCCTCTGGTGACCCAATTATTTTCTGCTTTGAATTTTTTGTTCATACCGTGTTTTCATTAATGGAAGCATACTGAACCATTGAGTGTGTCTGAATTTCTGCTAAGTAGTATGGATTTTTTTCCTTACCACCTTCCACAAGCCTACCCTAAGTGATGAGTGGTACATATGAAGCATCACGAGTTACACCACAGATTCCCCACTGGCGTCTATTGGTACATATGTGGAACAAATAAAAATGTTCCAAATTCCCATTTTTCTGACCAAAAATTCAGACACCTCATCCAATACCCTATAAAAACAGTAATTTGCAGCACACGCCTGTCTCTTCAGTTTCAAAGAGTCATAAAGGTCCCTGCCTTGGGGCCTCACGCACTGTCAGTGGTACAGCAGCTTCCCAATAAACCCCAGAGGCTAAAAAAGCTCATGGTCGCTGTATGTACCACCGGGCACAATGGGGTTAACTAACATGAATGCTCAGAAAGGAGGGGCGAGTTGCGAGTTGCTGACTGGGGACGGAGGAGCTCGGCGCTCCGCCAGGCTCCTGTCCCTCCAACAGTAAGATGGCATCACTCAGGTTCAGCGCCCCAGGTTCAGGCTCAACGTTCAGAGACAAACACCCACACCTGCACACACCAGCTCAGAACGCCGCGCTACAATGTGTGAAGACTGTCCCTGGAGATATCTGCCTTCAGGAGCTGATGTAAACTCCTGGACTCAAAAGTTAAAATAATTATAACCAGCTCTAAGCACAGTAGTCGATGCAATAGTAAGTTTTTTAACACTAAAACTTTAAATATTTACTTTGTGAAATTACTAAGGAAAAATTCCGTGTGCCTGAGAGGTGGAGGAGTGTCCCCTACACTGGTGTGAATCCCACCGGAGCAAATACCGGCCCCCGAGAGGTCCGAGCAGACCAGCCTAGCCCCCGCCCCGTCCGAGGGCCTGCTGCACGGGCACAGAAGAAAGGAAAGCCGCTCAGCTAAGACAGAGGGGTGCTCGCCTGCTGTGACTCTTCCCCAATCCTCCTCTGCGTCTCCAGCTCTTTCTGGAGCTGGGCTGCCCTCCTGCCAGCCTCCGCGACCGCCGCCTCGAGGCGCTGGATCTCCTCCCGTTGCACCGCCAGCCACCTGTCGGCCAGCTCCTTCTTCACAGCCAGCTCATTAAACCCGTCTGACTTCTCCCTTAACTTTTCCTGTAACAATTCAACCTAAAACAACAACCAAAAAAGCTTGAGAAATGTAAGAGGTTGTGAGAAACGAAAACACGTATCTTCCAAACAAAAAGCACACAACACGGTGGGTGGGCAGACGACAGGCCCTCCGTATTTCCCACCGTGCACACGACGAAACCTCATGGAAGGGCAAGTGAGGCTTTCCAAGCTGGGCAGGCTTCCCTAATAAAGACACGGAGATGAAAATCGTTTAACAGGACGCAAAATCTGTTATGAAAATACAATGTACTTTGTCGGCAGAAGGCTATGGCTGGGGCTGGGTGGTAACGCAGAGGTTTGAGAAGCGAGCTGGCATTGCCACCTTTGCTTCCACCAACTCCGGCCGCAATGGAGACCAGTTTAACGCTCAAAGAAATAACAGTAAACGCAACGCACAGGTGCAATTTCCTTCCCAATTTGATAGTTGATGACATGAAAGGGCAACAATCTCTTGCATTTCTTGACATGCTTGTTCATGCGAAGGCTTCTGGGGGACAATAATTGTATCAGGCTATGTTTAACAAAAGAACAAGGGTCTCCATGTATTTTTAGAACTGCTTACTGATATATCTGGGATTCATTTCCAAATAATCCTGTGGGCAGGGATGTGGAGAAACAGGGTCCCTTGTACACTGTTGCTGGGAATGTAAGATGGTGTGGCTGCTCTGGAAAGCAGTCTGGCGATGTCTCACGGACTAAGCACACAACTGCCACACGACCCGGCAACCGCATTCGTCCCAGAGAAGTCGAGACTTGCGTACACGCAAACACCTGTCCACAGATATCTGTAGCAGCTTTATCCACAACAGCCAAAACCTGGGAAACACCTGGATGTTTTCCGCAGGTGAATGGCTAAACAAACGCTGCAACAGAAAGAACGGACTACTAACAGGGAACAACTCCTAACACACGGATGGCTCTCTAGGGTTACACTGGGCAGGAAACACCCATCCCAAAGGGTCACACACCACATCATCCCATTTATATAAACCAAAACACCAAACTCGGTGTCATCGAGTCGATCCCGACTCATAGCAACCCTACAGGACACAGCAGAACTGCCCCACAGGGTTTCCAAGGAGCGGCTGGTGGATTTGAACGGCTGACCTTCTGGTGAGCAGCCGAGCGCTTAACCACTGCGCCACCAGGGCTCTTCTATTTTATACTAAAAAAAAAAAAGAAAAATCCGTTGCCGTGGAGTCGATTCTGACTCACAGCAACCCTACGGGACAGAGTAGAACTGCCATAGAGTTTCCAAGGAGCGGTTGGTGGATTTGAACTGCCAACCTTTTGGTTAGTAGCCTGAGCTCTTAACCACTAAACCACCAGGGCTCCCTCCATTTCTATAGCATTCTTGAAATGAGACAGTTACAGGAATGGAGAAGAGACGAGAGGTTGCCAGGGGTTAAGAAGGGAGCGGCTGTGGGAGGAAGGGGGTAAGGCTATAAAGGCCACACGGGGCACCCCTGTGGGGACAGACTGCTGCGTCCTCACTGCACCAGGGTCCGTATCCTGGGTGTGACATACTACACCTTTCTTAGGTGTTCCCACTGGGGAAGCTGGGGAAAGGGGACATGGGATCTCTCTGTATTACTGCTTACAACCACGTGCGAATGTACAATTATTCCAAAATAAAAGGTTAATTTAAAAAAGAATAAGCAGATTAACTAGTGTCGCATCAGACAACAGGAAGCAGTTATAGTCCCAAGCAAAAGGGTACCCGAGAAACAAGCGTGACAAGGCTGGTCCTGGTCCAGCCACACAGGGAGGGGCAGCTGGACGGGGGCCATGGGGTGGGGGGAGGCAGGGCTTGGTCCTTACCTCTTCACTCGGCTGCGTGCTCTGCTGTTTTCACGGACATGGAAGACAAACAGGAGAGAGGGTAAGACTTACGAGTGTCCCGGAGCACATCTCCCCCACCCCAGGCTCTGTGGCAGCGGACTTACGTGGCCGTCGTGGGCCCCCGTGGCCTGGGGCCGGGTCGCCTGCCGCAGCTCCTCCTCCAGCCTCTGGATCTCCTGCTGGAACTCATCACGCTCATGCTCCCGCTCCGCAGCCTGCTCCTGTCACGAGAGCAGCCGTGTGACCGCTTCCTTCCAGACGCAACGGCAGACTTTACTGCAAGCATGTCTGTCCCCCGGTCATGTCCACCCATCTTCCAGGGACCCTGAGGGGCATGACGTCAGGGGATGGGCCTGCCTAGAGCTGCTGCGGCTTCATGCCTCCATGTTGGATACCGACTTTCTACTTCACACAAGCGTCTGCCCACCCTAGACTGTGTCAGCATCCCTTTTGTACATCGGGGTAAGTAAAGAGCAGCCCGTTACACAGGAGGCCGCAGCGGCTCTCACGCTCTGATAACGACAAAGGAAATGACACGTGGACAGCTGTTTGCGAGCACAGGTTCAGGAAAAACCCAGGATGGCACCCCGTCAACAGCAGGCCCCCAGCTCTGCTCAGCCAGGGCCACAGGGCACGCCCACGGGACACGTCCCCAGCACATAAGAAGGGATGTGCCGAGAGACAGCCCGTGAGATGATGATCTGATGGGGAATTACAGATTCATCTCCCCGGTCAGCCTGCAGACGCCTCCTTGGTGGTCAGGGAAGAAGTTCGGGTGACAGCAAAGGAAGGCGCATGTCATGAAACGGGGCACAGTGCACGGTCTTGTTTGTCTTCAGGAAAAACTTTGGGTTTTTACTCTCACTGAAGTACAGAATGTAGTCCCTGGGGGTACAAACGGTTAACATGCTCGGCTGCTAATCGAAAGGTTGGAGATTCTAGTCCACCCAGAGGTGTCTCAGAAGAAATATCGAGGGAACTGCTTCAAAAAATCAAACGCTTAAAACTCTGCGGAGCACAGTTCTACTCTGACGCACATGGGGTCACCATGAGTTGCAGTCAACTCGGCGACAAACGGTTTGTAAGCACAGACTATCCAGAAACCCTGGGCTCCCGTTACACAGGGCGGTACCCGATGGGGCAGCGTTATATATGGCTTTCTTGGCTTTATTTGGATCACTGTGATTTCCTAAGGAGCCTGAGTTATTTACGTGCCAGAAACAAGATTTCACAGCCTATGATAGTAAGTTTCCAACAGAGAAACCCGGCTGGCACCTTGATAAAGTGACCAGCCCAATGCCGTCGATGGCGGTAATGACACCCACACAGCTGCCGTGCGCCCTCCCCACCGGGTCTTCCCGCTCGAGCCGCCATCGAAAGGCACCTGACGCCCAAGTGAGGGGCACAGCAACCTAGGGGCCCACACTTCCCCAACACCAAGGTCGTGACAAACACTCCCGCTGCAGGGGCTAGAGACGCACCAGCGGAGCCTGTGGGGAGCTGGATGGACTGCCCAGCCAGCAGACTCAGCGGACGCTACGGAGACACCTAGGAACACCTAGCGTGGACCGTCAGCTAGGGAGCGGCACCATCTCGAGCTAAGACCTTCTCATCTTGATAACGGGACTGTGGTTATGAACGTGAATGCCCATATCCTCAGGAAGCACACATTTAGAGGTAAAGGCAGACTGTCTGCCACTTACACGCAAAACGGTTCAGTAGAAAGTGGTGCGTGTGTGTGAGCCACATCCCCAAATCCTGAGGCAAAGTCAGCTGGAAAACGACAGGTGGCTCAGGAATTGGATGAATCTGAGTGACGGGTATAGGGAATTTTCTGTGTTACTCTACTTTTCGTAAGCTTGAAACTGTCTCAAAATAAAGTTAAAAACGGTTATTTGAGGGATGCCATGGACTGAACTGTGTCCTCCAAAAAGGTAACATTATGTTCTAACCCCCGCACCTGCAAACATGACCTTATTTGGAAACGGTTTTTGAAGATGTTATCGGTTAGCATGAGGTTGTGCTGGAGCGCGTGGGCCCTAACCCTACGCGGTTGGTGTGCTCATAATAGGGGAGAAGAGACAGATACAGACACCCAGGAAGATGGCCGTGTGAGGACAGAGGCAGACTGGAGGGATGCATCTACAAAGCCAAACAACGCCTAGGATCACTGCTGTCACCAGAAGCTGGGAGACAGCATGGAACAGCTCCTACCTCAGAGCCTCAGAAGGAATCGACACAGCGCACGCCCTGACCTGGGCCTCCCGGGGTTATGAGAAAATACACCTCTGCTCCGTCAGCCCCCAACCCCCATGTGCCACGCTGTGCTCTACAGCAGCCCAGGGCAGTGACACGAAACACACAACGGTGTCTCAATGTGACAGTCCGCAGAGGGACGCACGCCCTTACGTCCATGAACTGCCGCTGGCTGCGCAGGTGCTTGTCCAGAGACGCCATCTGCTGTTTCAGGGCAGCGACCTCCTCTGCATGCTGGGCACACGCCTGGTGCCGGGACACCTGCTCCTCTAACTCGGACTCCAGCATCCGCAACTGGGACAGCAAGGCAGCGCGGTCCTTCTCACACTGCTTCCTGGTCTCCAAGTGCTCCTCTGTCAGACACTCCACCTCCTTCCGGAGACCTGAAGGGCAAAGAACCGACGTGGAGGAAAATGCCCAGGACTCAGAACACGGCACTTCCTAAAGCAACTGGCACTGCCCACCCGCTGCCTAACAGAAGTGGAGACAGATGGACAGACTCCACCACCCAGAGCCACCTGGTGAGTGCCAGGACCAATGTGGAGACAGACAGACTCCACCACGCAGGGCTGATGGTGACTGCCGGGACTGATGTGGAGATAGATGGACAGACTCCATCACGCAGGGCTGATGGTGACTGCCGGGATTGATGTGGAGATAGATGGACAGACTCCATCACGCAGGGCTGCCCGGTAACTTCCAGAACCGACACGGAGACAGACAGATAGACTCTACCATACAGGGCTGACAGTTACTGCCAGGACCAGCGCGGAGACAGACAGACACCACTGTGTGGGCCTGATGGGGACGGCAGAACAGACGTGGAGACAGGCAGACTCCACCATGCGGGGTCACCCGTGACTGCCGAGGTGGAATCCTCCCTGCTCAGTGGACCCAGATGCAGACGGCACAAGGCTGCCCCAACGCGAGAAAAACTGCATCCAGCCTCCCTTGCAGCGAGGGGTGGAGGCTATGAGACCAAGTCTTGGCTGTGGAGGTGAGCACAAGGCCTGTGAAAGCTCCAATTCCCTCAAAGACGCTGCCTGCCCCCTTCCCTCTGTGCTTTCCCTTCTTCCTGGGGAGCGGGCGAGCAAGGTGGCCGCATGAGCACGCCGGGGTGCCTGTGTCTGCCCCAGAGCCAAGCCTGCGTCCAGCTGACCTGTCCGCTACTTACCAAACACCCACTTAAAATAAACACAAATTACTCTTGTCAAAAAATTACACCTTCTAAACCAAAATGGCCTAAAATAAAAGTGCGTACAGTCTGAGATGCGTCTGCCAGTCTGTCGTACCGTGGGGGCTTGTGTGTTGTGATGCTGGAAGCTATGCCGCCGGTATGCAAATACCAGAAGGGTCACTCATGGTGGATAGGTTTTAGGTGAGTTTCCAGACTAAGACAGACAAGGAAGAAGGAGCCGGTGGTCTACTTCTGAAAAGAATTAGCCAGTGAGAAACTTGCGAATAGCGGTGGTACGCCGTCGGATACAGTGCCAGGAAACGGACCCCTCAGGATGGAAAGCACTCAAAACATGACTGGGGAAGAGCTGCCTCCTCAACGTACAGTTGACCTTAATGACATGGACGGAGTCAAGCTTTCAGGACCTTCATTTGCTGAGGTGGCATGACTCGAGAAGAAACAGCTGCAAACATCCATTAATAAT